TAACTGTTTTCCCATACCCGGATTTCTATATAACCAGAAGTCTTTTGGAAACTCTAGGAGTCACCAGGGGTTAAAGTAGGGTGAAAGAATCTGGAACAACATTCAGCTAATGAGTGATTCAATGTGATGAAGTGCCTCTGTGCCTTGAAAATATAGGATGGGTAAGATGAGGTGTGATATCCTTATATTTCATGCAAACGGCTGAGCTTTTCTTCAGAGGGGGTTTTAGTTCACCCTTGAGGAGATGGTAAAAAGTTTAAACGTATGAGAGGCTTAAAGTTGATGCTTTTAAGTGTCTGATCAGGTTTCCTTCTGGGCGCATCCAGGCATGTTCAAAGGGTAGAAGCCAGGAAAGACCTACAAGAGGCTGGGGAGACAAAACTCCTAACATGGCCCACGATGACCTGCTGCAGGAAGAGCTGAAAGGGTGTGACTATGGAGGACAAAGAAGTGATTTGGAAGTCAAAATAAAAGATGGATGTTAGAAACTAAATTTCATTCAAAATCACAAGAAAAAATTATTTTCAGTGCCAATTTTTGTTTGGAAAGAGAATCAGACTTCTAATAATTCAGGTGCTGCTGTGGATTAGGGGATTCTGCTTTTGTTGGGCTGAACCTGACAAAGAGAACGCACTGAAGTGATGCCAACAAATAATGTAAGCTCTGGTCTAAGCTATCTGAATATTTGCTTTGACCCTGACAGAAGTTCTTGTCTTTGCTTAAAGAAAGCTTTGAATGCTGCAGATGTTACAGTGTCTTCCCCCAGCAAGTCAAGGCCACACACAAAAAGTCATCCCAAGTGCTGAGAAAGTGAGAGAAACCACACCAGTGAAGGGGAGCAGGAGAAAAGTTGGTGTGTGTCTCTGGTAGAGGGGGGGTGGTTTAACTGGAGTGTGTTAATTTGGATCTGGAGTTGAGATGTCTGAGCGGAGGGCTGGATTAGAAAGCAGTGGTCCATAGAGGAGACGCTGGGAGTCAGATTTCAGCTTTACGAGGGCCCCTTGAGTCCCGATTCACTGAAGCTGCCTTTGTTTGACTGAGAACCAGAGAGCGAGCGAGCGAGAGAGAATCAGGGGGCAAGAGAGAGGAGGAGGAAAGAGCAGTTTTTAGTCTGGAGTGAATGAGAGCGAGGCAGAGTGAGCTCCATCTCTCTCTCTCTCTCTCACTGTCTCTATCAGCACCACATATAAACGGGGCAACTTTAGCGTGGACTTAAACTCACCAACACTAAAGATGACTCCACGGTAAATGAAACCCACTGTGTTTTCTGTAAAGAAGTTGAATTGATGAACTTTTAGCAAGTTTTCTTATTCCTAAGTTGTGTTTTTTGTGCAGCATTCCTCCCTGGCTCTTTGGATTATTTCTCCTTGCCCTCCGGTTCTGCTGCCATTGCTCGTCTGCTTATCAGCTGCTGGACGGTATGTGGCTGTTGACTGTTTTTCTTTTGTGTTTTATTTCCTTGTTGGAAGTTTTTTTTCCTGCTGTTGGCAAACTTTCTGCTGGTTCAGAGGTTTTTCAGCTGTTGAATATGAATGAGCAGTTGCACTCTAGTCCTTTTCTGTTACTTTAAAAAAGTGTGTGTAAATATTACTCTGTTGATAATGTGGTTAGCTGAGTAGCTTAGGACATTTTGGATTTAATTAATGTTCAAGTAATAGAAATGTTGGTGTTTCAGCTTTCAATGTTGTATATTTGACCACATTTAAAAAGACAGCGTAAGATTTCTTTAAAGTCTCTGGCTGTTGTTTCTCCCTTTCACTACAAGTCTTCTAGGCTCTTTACTCACATGTTGGTGATAATTAAAGTGCAAAGACCCTGGAAATGTCTTGAGAGTTTTAGCCTGTTTTTTGAAGTGGTGTTCAAAATGTGGCCCCAGTTTGACATCCTAGGGGATGTTTTATATTGGTGTTATAAGACCAGGTTTACTTGAGCAGGAGATACATGAAGGAGCCTTAAATGTCTAATGAAGAAACATATACTGCACTACACTGAGGAGAATAGGGTTACCAATGGTGTGACATAATTGTCACCACTCTCTAAAGTTTATTCTCTACTTGGGTATATTTTAGGCCAGCTCAACCCACCTGCAGACCTATTCATAAAAGCCCAATTGAAGTCAATGTGATCACAGACCAGCTGATCATCAGAACATCTGGTGCCTAAGTTCAGTTGGGATGGTTCGAGAGTCACCTTACACAACACTGATTATAATGCAGATTTAGGGAGGATGAGGTGCGATGGATGGATGTGGACACATACCGGCATTCCCAAACTCTTTGGCAAACCAGTGCTTTTAAATTTGTAGCATTGATGCAAACGAGGGAGACTCCTTTAGGCTTCTGTTCCATATTATTTCTCGAGTTATTTCTTGGCTGACTTGTTTCTCTGATCCCGTGTGCAGTGCTTTGCTGTTTCTGGAGACTGTTTTCACAGCTTAAACCTAGATTTTCTTTGTAGTGATTAATACATCACTCAGGACACTTTAACATGTTTCCAATTAGTGCTGGAAGACTCGCAGATTTTCTTTTCCATTGCAACTGGATAACAGTAAAACCTCACAATGTGCGTATTGACAGACAAGCTCTGCACTCAGTAGCACTGCATGATTAAGCGAGTGAAGATGATGCAATGCTGAGCATTGGAAGGTGCATGTCATAGATGACGGTCATTGCCAATTATCTCGGAGAGCCTCACTTTATTACTTTTCATGCTACGCTTCAGACAGACAGGCCAATATACCATCACTGCTTTCGTCAGTGTGCTGGAATCCAGATTAGCATTTTGCAGTTATCTATATGGATATCTTGACCTGTGTAAACCACAAAGACCCCCATGTCACAAAAGCAGCATTGTCCAGGCTTAGCTAAATGATTACAGGGTCTCGTTACCTAATGTGGCCCTTATGGAGCTTAGTGGTCTTGCTTATATTCGGAATTAAACACAACCTATGTTCCTGCTGGCTTAAAAAAAAAGTGTGACCACTTTTAATAAGCCTGTCCTCTTAAGAGATAAATGGAATATAATTGCGTGGGAATGAAAACAAGCTTTAAATGTGCTCTGCATCCAAGCTGAACTGGTGTTGATGTGTGTGAGGAGGTGGGTGGTGCTAAAACAAATTTTCAAAAATGTGATTTCATGGTCCAGTTTCCTCTACTGTAGATCCTGCAGATGTTGGGTGAGCCAGAGGCTCCATTCTCAGGCTGTTTGTGTGTTTGCCATATTTATAATCCTCTGCCATGATTCACTTTTTCAAGACAGGGGAAAAAAAGCAGAGTGTGCTTGCGCACGCTGGCTCACTTGCCCGAGAGAGCACCGGGGACACATATTTCCAAGCTGCATGTTGTAAATATCCTTAAACAGAGCTGTCGCTGTGGCAACATTCACGTTTCTGTGCATGATTTCAAAAAGGAGAAAAGGATATAGTCCTTTCTCTTAGTGTGAAATAGTGCAAACTGCTTTTCTTAGCTATGTCTGTTACTAATGTGTGAGGATGGTTTTTAGCTGGAAGCATCAGAACTAAAAGCTGGAAACACAAAGAGAAATCCCATGACTAGAACATTACAGCGTCTGTCAGTGAATGAATAAATGAGTTATGTATTAAAGCGTTACATGAGTCATTTGAACTAACCAAGTGGCTTAAAAGTTAAGCCAACATAGCAGTGCCAAAAACTGCAGGTCTTTGAATGGCTAATTTAAGCTAGCCCCAAAAATGAGTCAGTTTTCAGACTCCCATGTTATCATGTCCAGGTCTGCAGCAAAAGTTTATATATAAAACAGCTTTAGTATACAATATAATGCTAATTACCATCCTTCATAACATTTGTGAGAGAGATGAATGTACAATAGTCACTCTTTTAAAGCCTTTTAAAGATTTTGTTATCTTTCAAGGTTTTCTTGTAGTGCAATAATTTCACAAAATGATTGCTGTGCAGGTAATTGGGGTTAAAGACGTTTGATACAGTATGTGCCTGTGTGATGAATCTTCGTAACGCAGCGTCCTGACATGAGCTGATAACTTGGAGTGGTCACTTCAAGGATCCAAAAACCCAAGATGTGGAAGGCCACACATGCTCAGGGTTTTAAAAATGGGACATTGTGTTGAATGTGTAGACGTATAGATTTTCTTTTCAATTTGAAGTTAAATATGTTGAGAACACTATTTTGGAAATCCCATTAATAAGTAAAGAAACTCTTTACACAGAAAAATAAATTGTAAAACAACTTTGGTCCAAGATGAAAAGGATCCAAATATCAGCCCTGTTGTTTTCATATCCAAAAGAATAATAAATGAATACCTGCCAGGGTACTCCCTGTTTTCAATCTTCACTAATGAGTGCATATGCATTTAACAAACTCCATATATAGAGCAGCAACTCTGTATGTGCACTTGCACATGCATGGGTTTATATGCGACAAAATGAGTACACGCATGCAAAGCTCTCCAGCTGGTGTCCACATGGTAATTATTGTCCAATGATAATGGTTTTAATTATCTGAAACCAAATAAACGTCCAGGACAATTAACAATGAAGGATGATAAGACAGTGTGGCTGATGATGTCAGTATAAGAGAATGTGGTGATTACACTGAACTTGGTGCTGAGGGTAATTATAGTGATCAGGGTGATTATGATGAAGACAATGGTGGCGATGATTATCACAAGATTATTGTCATGATGCAAGTCCTTAGAGAGGTTAAAGGGTGTTGTTAGAAGTATATTACCGATATAGGAAAAAATAGGGTGGGGAATGACTGTGGTTTGCACACATGACCCACATTTGACTTTTGTATGAAGCTGTTTTGAATGAGAAAATGTTGAGTCAGAAGAAAACCTCAAGTTTAAATATATAAACGTGTTGCAAAATAAAACAGAATTTGAAAGAGATTGATTCTCACACCAAAGCAAAGCATTTTTTTCTCCTGGTAAACACAGGCCTGTTTTCTGTTTATCTCATATGTGCTCTGTGAAGGTCATCAGGGTAATGAGGTTAGACTTGCATCAGACTGACAATCTGTGTGCCATAAAACAAGCAACTTTTACTGACCTCAAGATTATCACTGGCAAAAGAACCAAACAATAGATTCAATTTAGGTCACTCAAGAATAAAAGAGTTGATTTAACTCACTGAAATGTCAACCCTTTCTCCAAAAACTACTTTGGTGTTAAACCACCAAAGATTGGTTTTGTAGCTGGAGGCTTAGCTGCACAGTGCTGGATATATTTCCTGGGGTGGTATCATGATTTGTCAGTGTCAGATAAAGACTTCAAGTGTGATGAAAACAATGGAAATGGAAATAAATCTTTGTGGAAGTACCAGGCTTCTGTAGCTCCTAATTTTAGCTGGAAGCCACTGGACTATTGCTGCATTAACCAATAAAAAGAGGAAGATCTCAGTGTAACTCTTATTAATCCAAAAGCCTTAGTTTCATTGTAGCTGATGAAATTCACTCTATTATATGACAATAAAACCTGTAGATCCAGTCTTAATCATAGTTGTAATAATACATGCATGCTGACAGTGACTATAAGGAAGCATTATGTAATAGCAATATTTCCACATCCATTTGGTCTTGATTCTGACTTGATGAGATCCTGGTTTGGCTCCAGTTTTGATGTGGGTCATCTAGATTGTGGGCTTGAACAGAGGTAACGTGTCAGCTTTTGATTAAGACTGTTATTAAAACTACTTCAGAGATTCTCAGCCCTGTCCAACTGTGATTTCATAGCTAAGCAAAAAAAAAAAACCCTACATACAACATTTGAGGCTTTAAAAGTCTGTAACATTTTCCGATTAAAATGATAAATATCCAGTTTCCATCCACAAGATGACATAGCAGACAAGTGAGTCAACTCATAAAATACTGAGCTTGTATTTCTTGGGAAACATCACAACAGCGAGGTCCGAGCACAAAAGCTGTCACCAAAAAGGAAACAATCAGGTGATATCACTCTGACTACCACCGAATGTTAAGAGAGGCCAGCTGTTTCTTTGACCACATCCACGTGTTTATAAACCGTGACAAATTTGCCAATGGGCCGTACAAGGTTACACAGTATAAATACTGCTGCCTTTGCTTTTTTATGCTGCAATGATGTGCTGTAACTGACACGTGTTTTCCTCTGAGATGTTCAACTCAAATGAAAATGAATTAACTGTTGGAAGCACTGCCATAACAAATCAAACGTTTGCTTTAGCTTGCTAATGCGCTTCGTCTTGTATACCTTTTGGTTTTGGCTCAGGAAAAGTTCAGCAAATCACATCAGAATTCTAGTTTGTTTCAGTTCAGACTGCCTTTTATAATCTGTGATAAAAGGCAAACATTACATTATTTCCAGTACTACATAGCAAAAACAGAAGATGCGCATGCACAGAATTCACACCATGGTTGTGCAGGTTGTGAAAAAGACCAAATATGC